GGTGTACACCTGCGGGACTTTATCACGGAAATTTTGCATTCTGGGAATTTGTGAGAGCTGCTGTGAGAATTTTTTTTATTTTTCATCATGTTTGCCGGCATACAATTGTATGCCTGTACCTTTTGAGACAATCTTTGGTTCGATCCCTAACCAAAGATTGTTTTAGTAATCGATTAATCTTTCAATCCAGAATGTTCAATTAACCTACCATGCATGTGGGAGGAAACCGGAGTACCCCGAGAAAACCCTCGCAGGAACGGGGGACAACATGCAAACTCCTTGACTCACATCAAATAGTTCCAAAATGCTGTAAAGAAATAACAGCTTTTCTTTTCTCATATCAATATCATAGATTTTGGCATTATTTGTGCCATTTGGTTACCTTTCGTCTATCGGAGCAGTAACGCGGTTTAAATATTTTGCTCGCATTACTGGGAAAGATCTAATTTTTGAATGATGCTCAACATGTGCGTCTAAGTTCATGGCAGCTAAAAAGAGTTGACAGGATGCCGTCGTCAGCGGTGTGGGAAGACCTACCGAAATACCGATGCATTTCCTCGTGCAGCTTCAGAACTCAGCTGAACATGTCTGCTGTGTGCTTAGGTCTCGCGACCCTCCTGTGTTTGTTCTGCACGACTCCTGCCAAAACAGGTAAGGCTGATACAGAGGCTGACGTGACAAGCTCCAAAAGGGGAAAACAATGATGACATCTTACAAATATGAAATATCGTAATCTTGTGTCTGCCTCAGTGGAGAACATCGAAGTGATAAGGAGACCCCCCGGCGGATCTGTGTCCATCCAGTGCAGTCATGTTCCACAGGGCGAAATGCACATGACTTTTTTCAAAGGCCTCAAGAAGGATTTTCAAATTCTTCACATGATGTCCCAAAAAACCACCACCGCAAAGGAGTTCAGCGGCAGACTCCGGGTGGAGGGAATCTTCCCCAATGTGGACGTGATCATCTCGAACCTGACCTCAGAAGACACGGGGTTGTACTTTTGTGACTACCAGTGGTATGACGACGCAAGGTCAGAACAAAAGAGGGTAGACGACGATAGTCCGGTGATGCTGGTGGTTGAAGGTGAGCGCACATCACCTCATGACATCATTATGTAAAGGAATAGATCAAATGCATCTCAAAAGTATTGCACAGAGCAATGCTGTTTCGATTTTAAACAATTTGGTGGGGTATCTTAATGTATGTGTTAAAAAATAATCATCAATAAGTAATAATCATGGATTATTTATTTTAAAAACAATGAGAACATAACTCCAACTCAAATGTTGCTCATGCCTGAACTGCTTGGCTTTCTCATGACTGCCTAATTGACCAATAAAAACAAGTGGCTACTTGTTGCTATGCAGAGTTCTCAATTACAACTTCTTCATAGGGAAATGAAGAACTTGGTCGCTTGTTGCGAGGTGGAATCATTGGCTTGAATCCAAAGCGAGCCATCGGGCAATAGAAAATAATGGTCACTTGTTGCTAGGCAGGATTCATCAGGCCTAATCTTTGCACTGTGCTCTCATTATTATTGTCTGGAACAGTCGCATCGGACATTAAAAGTCAATCCCGATGACTACTCTGGTCTGGTGCGCTGTGTTTGGTTTCTACTCTCAAATGCGGCAAAAAAAAAAAAAGCCTTTCTGTTCTTATTCTGCTCAGTCGTAGACGAGCAGCCGTGTGCTAACCCAAACCAGAATATTCTCCTGGTGATTGTTGTGGTTTCGGCTGCTGTGCTGTTTGGAGTCTTCATCGCCCTCCTCCTATGGATCATACCCAAGGTGCGTATATCTGTGTTGAAAACACATTTTCTCATAGTAGCAGGTGTTATTTACTCAACTGCAGGAAGTGCAAGGGAAAGGTGTAACAGTACTAAGGGGGCTGATTTGTCCTTGTTCCAGTCCTGAATCGATTTTCATTTTCAAATCAGTGTGGGAGTTTATGGCAGGTTTTGTTCCGCTACGCCACCGCAAATTTCATCTTAAGGTCTTTAAAGCCACCTTGTGGAGGGTTCAATTAATTTAAGATTACCGGTAGTCTTTTTTTTTTTTGTAGGTACAACCTTCTTTGATACTGGGGTCTCATTTTGTGCCTCTGTTTAGCTTTGTTACCGTTGACAAAATCACCCCGGCGAACATTAATCATACCTCAATATCATTGGCAGATCAAAAGATGGCACGCCAAATATAGGCCACGGCGCACAGTCACCAATGATGTTTACGAGGAGATGCGCGGAACACTGCGAGCTTAAGGACATCCTGTAAAGGCCGGCCACCAAGCGATGCAGCAACACCGCATGCTTTGCATGCATGCGTGCCTCTGACTGAACCAGTCAGGTACACGAAAAACAACTCGACTGTGCTATGCAATTATTTTGTTTTCAAAGATGTCAACATCCATTAGAATGTAGTCGCTAATGATACATGTCCATATGTGCGAGTACGAGGCATGTATGCGCAGCGGACACTTTATTCGGAACAGAATAGAATAAGATCCGATGTACCAGTTTAAAATAGAGCATTGCTATCTTTTATCGAGGTAGAATTTTAGAAATATCTGATATTAGATTAGGCAGCTGTACCTAATGTATCCGGTCACATGCATTTGTATATTGCAGAATGGCGTGATTAAGGCTTAAACGAGAGAATTTTCTTCCGATGTCAATCAAATGACATCTATTCGCTGTATGTGAGAAAACAACGACTGACTAATTGCAATCTATTTTTACAGCAAGCAGGTGTCAGAAAAAAGGTTCACTTTGTAACGTGTTGCCAAATGGCGCCGTTTATGAATAATACCGCACTTGAATGTGCAATGCGTGCCTGGTGGGTGTAATATCTCACTCACATTCCAAATGATGAACACTGACTCAGTGAACATAACACGAGGCCTGTCAAGATGCCTTGCTGCTGCGATAATTTTTGAATGATGCTCAACACGTGCGTCTAAGTTCATGGCAGCTAAAAAGAGTTGGCAGGATGCCGTCGTCAGCGGTGTGGGAAGACCTACCGAAATACCGATGCATTTCCTCGTGCAGCTTCAGAACTCAGCTGAACATGTCTGCTGTGTGCTTAGGTCTCGCGACCCTCCTGTGTTTGTTCTGCACGACTCCTGCCAAAACAGGTAAGGCTGATACAGAGGCTGACGTGACAAGCTCCAAAAGGGGAAAACAATGATGACATCTTACAAATATGAAATATCGTAATCTTGTGTCTGCCTCAGTGGAGAACATCGAAGTGATAAGGAGACCCCCCGGCGGATCTGTGTCCATCCAGTGCAGTCATGTTCCACAGGGCGAAATGCACATGACTTTTTTCAAAGGCCTCAAGAAGGATTTTCAAATTCTTCACATGATGTCCCAAAAAACCACCACCGCAAAGGAGTTCAGCGGCAGACTCCGGGTGGAGGGAATCTTCCCCAATGTGGACGTGATCATCTCGAACCTGACCTCAGAAGACACGGGGTTGTACTTTTGTGACTACCAGTGGTATGACGACGCAAGGTCAGAACAAAAGAGGGTAGACGACGATAGTCCGGTGATGCTGGTGGTTGAAGGTGAGCGCACATCACCTCATGACATCATTATGTAAAGGAATAGATCAAATGCATCTCAAAAGTATTGCACAGAGCAATGCTGTTTCGATTTTAAACAATTTGGTGGGGTATCTTAATGTATGTGTTAAAAAATAATCATCAATAAGTAATAATCATGGATTATTTATTTTAAAAACAATGAGAACATAACTCCAACTCAAATGTTGCTCATGCCTGAACTGCTTGGCTTTCTCATGACTGCCTAATTGACCAATAAAAACAAGTGGCTACTTGTTGCTATGCAGAGTTCTCAATTACAACTTCTTCATAGGGAAATGAAGAACTTGGTCGCTTGTTGCGACGTGGAATCATTGGCTTGAATCCAAAGCGAGCCATCGGGCAATAGAAAATAATGGTCACTTGTTGCTAGGCAGGATTCATCAGGCCTAATCTTTGCACTGTGCTCTCATTATTGTCTAGAACAGTCGCATCGGACATTAAAAGTCAATCCCGATGACTACTCTGGTCTGGTGCGCTGTGTTTGGTTTCTACTCTCAAATGCGGCAAAAAAAAAAAAAGCCTTTCTGTTCTTATTCTGCTCAGTCGTAGACGAGCAGCCGTGTGCTAACCCAAACCAGAATATTCTCCTGGTGATTGTTGTGGTTTCGGCTGCTGTGCTGTTTGGAGTCTTCATCGCCCTCCTCCTATGGATCATACCCAAGGTGCGTATATCTGTGTTGAAAACACATTTTCTCATAGTAGCAGGTGTTATTTACTCAACTGCAGGAAGTGCAAGGGAAAGGTGTAACAGTACTAAGGGGGCTGATTTGTCCTTGTTCCAGTCCTGAATCGATTTTCATTTTCAAATCAGTGTGGGAGTTTATGGCAGGTTTTGTTCCGCTACGCCACCGCAAATTTCATCTTAAGGTCTTTAAAGCCACCTTGTGGAGGGTTCAATTAATTTAAGATTACCGGTAGTCTTTTTTTTTTTGTAGGTACAACCTTTATATTTGATACTGGGGTCTCATTTTGTGCCTCTGTTTAGCTTTGTTACCGTTGACAAAATCACCCCGGCGAACATTAATCATACCTCAATATCATTGGCAGATCAAAAGATGGCACGCCAAATATAGGCCACGGCGCACAGTCACCAATGATGTTTACGAGGAGATGCGCGGAACACTGCGAGCTTAAGGACATCCTGTAAAGGCCGGCCACCAAGCGATGCAGCAACACCGCATGCTTTGCATGCATGCGTGCCTCTGACTGAACCAGTCAGGTACACGAAAAACAACTCGACTGTGCTATGCAATTATTTTGTTTTCAAAGATGTCAACATCCATTAGAATGTAGTCGCTAATGATACATGTCCATATGTGCGAGTACGAGGCATGTATGCGCAGCGGACACTTTATTCGGAACAGAATAGAATAAGATCCGATGTACCAGTTTAAAATAGAGCATTGCTATCTTTTATCGAGGTAGAATTTTAGAAATATCTGATATTAGATTAGGCAGCTGTACCTAATGTATCCGGTCACATGCATTTGTATATTGCAGAATGGCGTGATTAAGGCTTAAACGAGAGAATTTTCTTCCGATGTCAATCAAATGACATCTATTCGCTGTATGTGAGAAAACAACGACTGACTAATTGCAATCTATTTTTACAGCAAGCAGGTGTCAGAAAAAAGGTTCACTTTGTAACGTGTTGCCAAATGGCGCCGTTTATGAATAATACCGCACTTGAATGTGCAATGCGTGCCTGGTGGGTGTAATATCTCACTCACATTCCAAATGATGAACACTGACTCAGTGAACATAACACGAGGCCTGTCAAGATGCCTTGCTGCTGCGAGTTATCACCCTACAGTCAGTGTGTATGTTTTGTGCCAATCAGGATTTGGTTGAGAAACCATTTGACCTTTTCCGCCATACAATCCGAAAAGAAAAATTGTTCAAAGTATTTATTTGCTCAAATATTTCTTCTGCTGTACATAATCCCTCCCAAAAAAAAAAAAAAAAACATATATGCACATGATTTGTTCTGTAATGTATGAAATAAAACAATATTCTGTACTTTTAGTGGTTGCTCAAAGAGACCCGGTCATTTATACACTTACACGACACCATATTAGGTACACCCGCACCACCCAGTTGGATTAGAGCTTAAATTCTGCCTAGAAATGCACAATTCTGGTACTCTAGCAATTCATTTGAAGAGGGGTGTGTAAACTTTTTATATCCACGGCAGAGAGACTTTATTCTTGCACATGGAGAATTCACAAGTAGTTTTGAGAGAGAACAAGTAAGCTTTGGGTGTTACCAAGTGTAATGTCGTACAAAAAAAAAAAGCACATGAGAGCAGAAAATATAGGCTTGTGTGATGAACACATCATGAGTCAAGTTCGAGCAAAAGCTTACAGTAAGAGATAATAGAACATTCTGCGCACATCTGCTCTGAGGTGCTCCCTTACAAGCGTGAGATCAGCCCAGTTATCTCTGATGAATGTTGAGTGATGGCTAAAGAGAAGTACCGTACAGTCATATGTGCCGCCCAAACACAAGCAAGAGGCGCTCACTTTTTTTTTTTTTTGTGTGAGTCAACATGGAAATGTCACAAAACAAACCTCTCATCAAGTTGGTTGCATGCACAAAGCAGGTGGATGTCGTTGCTTGGTGTGACACTTTTGTGGCTGCGAGCTGTGAATTTGCTGACCAAGTGTTGAAGCGTGTGGGTTTAAGTGTTACAACAACAACAACGAGCAATGAAACATCTTCATGCAAGCGAGCGGAAATCAAGACCCCTTTTTTTGGAATCGTAGCCCAGTGGCCAAAAGCGGCAAATACCGCAATGCGTGTGTGTATGTTTTTCAAAAGCACACATTGAGCAGAAGCTGCAGTTTCAGTGCCTGCCAAAACTTGTAACAGGAAACGGCAAATGATAATGTTTGTCACAATTTGAGGGCAAGATACTTTGCGCAAGAGATAATCATCAGTCGCGTGTGTGCGCCACCACCTACCTGCCCAGATGCTGACGGTGAAACGAACAACTGACTCTACAAATTTGTTGGATTGACTGGAAGTTGAAGTTGTTTTGAGTTTAGATAGGATCAGATGTAACTAGAAGCAAGTAGCTAGTACCTCCTCTTCCACTTTTGGGTTGCAAAATTCCAAGAACCTTTAGACTTGGAAACGCTCCAATGATTGCAACGATAATTTTCTGGGAATAGTGACTAGAATACAGTACGTGGGAATTTGCATGACTAAACTTGTAATGCGTTAAACGTGCCCATTTCGGGGAACCCAGATGTAGTTGTGGGGGAGGTTTAAGTAGCTTTATGTTGTTGTTGTTGTTTCATGAAATAACTCAAAGTTCTGCTCAGAGAAAGTCAGTAGTAAATGCACAGTTCGAAACTGGCGTTTTACGTCGTTGTGACTCTGAACACTTCCGGCTTGATTCGCAGACACCGGAAGTGGCTCTTCATTCCCTTTAAAATTGACACCCAGAGGTGCAATCAATACTTCTACATGACAGGAAAAGAAACTCATTTGGTGCAGTCGACGTAGGTCGGAGCGTGGAAAATGTTAAGAAGCAACTGCAGGTAGAGCCCCACGGGCGGATGACGCCCAAGTTGCCCAGGGCGATCACAGATCACGAAATGGGCACCTGGGGACCGCCATCCACCCGGTTCGTTCGGGCCTGTGGCTTCAACATCCATTGCCGCTTTCCTTCTGGTGTGCATGATGTGGCCACTAGGTGGCAGTATTATACAAACAGGTAAAGCACGAAGATTTTTCACAGGTCACAGACTTGGAAAGGTGAGCTCAATTCAGTAATATTGCTAAGATTTTGCGCAAGATATTGTCGGTCTAAGTGTTGTGTCGTTTGGGTTGAAATATAAACTGAAAAGAGCTTTTGTTGAATTTACTCAATGAACAAAATGTAGATTTTATTTTGTGCAAGGAAATCAAATCATCTGGATCCAGATAATTTTTTTAAGTAGACTATACATCTACATCAATACACCATTTTTCAGTGTATGTTTCTGACATTGCTATAATTTCCTCCATCAGTCTGAAAGATCCTGTACAGTAGCTCTTGTTTTCTCATCTATAGCTTATATCCAGGGCACATGGAGGCAACAATCTCCATGGCAACAACCTGGCCTGACTCCGCAACATGACAGTCGTGTTCCTTTCAGTGCTATTTAGCTTTTATTTTACAGGTGTTTCGTTGAACTTGTATTTATGAGGAAATGGACAAATTTGCTCTTTTTTTGTCCTTGAAATTGAAGTGAAGCCCCTTCAATGTGACTGTAAACAGGTGAATGTTGCCACAACACACACACACACACACACATGCACACGCACGCACACGCACGCATAGACATACATGACACATGTGGTTGGGTGGGTCACATGGTTCCGTTCAGACACCCACTCATTGTCAAAGGCCAACACTTAAGCAAACTATCAGCTTTTTTTTTTTTGTGGGGTTCCTAGTCTTGAGCAAGAGCAGAGTTACAAAAAACAGTTTATATTTACATTCTGAAGGCTCTTCTAATCCACATATCCTCTTTTATTGACATGTATACACTGTTAGTTAATCCACTATTCACTACCAGTGCATACACACAGACAATTTCCTTGTTGTGCATCTTATCTGTCCTACAGGTAAGGCTCCTAAACACGGAATAGCACAAAGTTTAGGAGCCAAACCACTCCCGCTCATGCCACATGGGCGTGCGTCATGACGCAGGATCGCAGGTGTGATTGTGTCCATAACTGTCTGTTTTTTTTCTCTCTTTCTCTCTTTCTCCAAAGAGGTGCACAGCGTGCTGGAATACACGCCTACAAACTTAACACACTCCAAGTGAAGTGAAAGGACCTTAGAGGAAAGACGCTTGTTTAAAAAAAAAAAAAAAAACATTACACTTTTTAGTCACACAAACGTCTGCCACCATGAAGAAATCTTCATACTCAGGTAAGTGCGTTACTGACCTGCATGCTATCGAGAGATGCATTTCGGACAGAGTGGATGCTCTGCCGTTGTCATTATAGAAAAGTTATTCTATATTATTCAGAATTCATATTTTGGGAGAAAGACTCATTCATGATTTTATGGGTGTGGTTACTTAGTTAGGCGTGACGGTGGTCGAGTGCAGAGGTGCAGAGTTCGATTGCGGCTCCGGCCTTGCTGTGTGGAGTTTGCATGTTCTCCAGGTGCCTGTGTGGGTTTTCTCCGGGTACTCCGGTTTCCTCCCACATTCCCAAAACATGCATGGCAGGTTAATGGAACACTCTAAATTGTCCCTGATTGTGATTGTGAGCGCGGATGGTTGATCGTCTATGTGTGCCCTGCGATTGGCTGGCAACCGGTTCAGGGTGTACTCCGCCGACTGCCTGAAGACGGCTGGAATAGGCTGCGGCACGCCCCGCAACCCTCGTGAGCATAAGCGGATTATAAAATGGATGCATGGATGGGTGGTTACTAAACTTCACTTGCAGGTTTGGGTTCCAAATGAATGACGTCATGATAGAAAAGCTCCTGTAGCTCACGAGACAAAACACAAGGAACACTAGAGTATGAAAGAAAAATTTGATTAACACCGATAACATTGAATATGTTGATTCATGCAATTCAACTGCATCGTGTCAAAACATTTAGAATGTTTCTGTCATTCTATTGTAAATTTTGCTTTATTTGAGGGGAGGCATTTACTGAACAGCAAAATGTATCACTTGCCAATTGAGGTAAGATGTTTATTTTCCATTTTTGGGGGAGAATTCTTTTTGTCCCACTCCCTGATGTATTGCAGGTTGATGTTGAAAGGTCGACCAGCTTTTACAATGGAATGTAAACTTCAGCTTTTTTTTTTTTTTTTTTTGAGGTGAGGCAGTCTTGCACTGGAAATGTTTTGCAACTTTTGCCGTGGTATGTTCCTTTTTCAATGCCACTGTAAACCAATCGCTTTGCAGATGCCGTGCCCGCTTTGCAGGGGGTCTGCGTTGTTCAAAGTGAAACTAAATGCAGCCGCTTTATGGAGGGGTTATTCAAGGTGAATCATTTATTCAATCCAACTGCAGAAAAGAGCCTATTCTATGTCAATTAGGGATAAGTTGTTTATTTTTGTTTGTTTGTTTATTCTTAGTTTCTTGCCAAACTCTCAATCGGCCAGTTTCCCAATGTCAAGTCAACATTGAAATATGCAAATATAATGTTAAAATAAATATTGCTTCTCTTTAAACCCACTTTGAAAGTCAGCTTTGCTGAAAATCTGCCACCCACTACACGCTTGGTGGTATCAATAGTCACTATAATAACAACCAGCAAAGGGGGAGGAGGGGCTTGTTTGAGGTGAGGCGCTCATAACTGAACTACAAAGTTGTATCAATAGTTTTATTTTTTATTCTTTCCCCCGCGGGGAAAACGGTGAGTCCACATGAAATACACGCTTTTTGTTTATTGAAGTGATTAATTGGGCACAGCATCTAGTCGTTGAAGTTGTATTCGTTTAAAAAAAAAATCTAGCTATTATAACCACTGTGCAGCGCACATCAAATTTTATGAGTGTCCAGAACAGAGCCATGGGGAACTTTTGTGGAAGATGAGGAAGGCCGTCACGTGACGTCATCCCATTTGGGAAAAACAAGAGTGGAAAGTTTACAGCCTTATGGCTCAAAGCTACCACCAGCTAAGAGCACCTTGTCACTCACGAACCCGCCGCGCCGCCAATTGCTCACATCCTGATTGAAACATCCATCTTCCTCCTCACCTTTTCCTCTCTTTCCTATCATCCCTCTTCCTCCTCCTCTTTTTCCATGAGCGCCTAATCTCGCGCCCATCCGCTGAGCCTCATTGACCTCCTCCTACTCCAGCTAAGCTCCGGCTCACTCCAATGTACACAAGGTCTATCCTGCGGAATGCCGCTCTTCCCGGGTCCTCTTTCCAGAGTCTTTGTGCGATCGAGCGTCTGACACATTTCCATTGGAGCCAAGTGCAAGT